CATTTTTATATATAATAGCTATTTAGAATGAATGCTTCAATTTATACCCTTTTAGAGACTGAGAGTACACACATCCCTCCATCTTCACCACCAGCCCTGGGAATTACTATCATCCTTATTATCCCCATTCCAAACTAGAAAGTACCCACATATTAAGGCTGCCGCGAGAAGGCATAGCAGGAGTAATCATAATACTACTTTATATTAAGCTTTCTCAATTGTTTCACATCCAGTAAGGTCTAAATTGAGCCTAAATTATATAACCAATATTATATTTGAAAAATGGTGTCTTCATTGGCTTAGGTTGCCATAACAAAATACCATAGACTGGAGTGGCTTAAACAACAGAAATTCATTTGTCACAATTCTGGAGGCTATTAAGTCCAAGATTAAGATGCCAACAGGTAGGTTTCATTCTGGGCCTCTCCTCTTCATGAAGGTGACTGCCATCTGGCTATTGCTCACATGACCTCTTCTTTGTGCGTGGGGGGATGGGCAGCTTTCTGAAGTTTCTTCTTAGAAGGGCACTAATCCCATCATGAGGGCTCCAGCCTCATGGCCTCACCTAACCCCAATTCCCTCCCAAAGGCCTCATCTCCAAATACCATCACAGTGCGGGGTAGAGCTTCAATATACCGTATTTGCCGGCGTATAAGACGATTTTTTGGCCCTGAAAAATATGCCTCCAAGTGGGGGGTCGTCTTATACGCCAGGTACACTTCAGATAGACTGCCCATAGTGCTTGCCCCGTGCCATAGTGGCCTCCCGATGCCCGCCCACTTCATTCCACATACCGTTCAGGCATCAGCAGTGCTGCTGGGTGTATGGTCGGCTGTGTGCGATTTTGCGAGTGTGGTAAATTCGGGTTACCGTATATTTCTTTACATATGCATTGAAGATTCGCGATTTTGCGCTATCATGGTGCCTGTTAGAATGTTGAAGAGCTCGCACTTGCACACTAGTGAGGTCCCAGGGAGATGCTGATGCAAGGGTGGACCAGACTGCTATAGTGACAGGGCGGGCAAACAGGGAGCAGGGACCAATCAAATCAGGCTTTGTATACAGCCAACAGCCAACCACAATACTGCACCATTGTACAGTACAGCATAGAAAATGTCGACCAGTCAAACCCCTATCATCCCTATCATGGCACCAGCCAAAAGAAAGAAGTATGATGCAAATTTTAAACTGAAAGTTATAAACTTTGCTAAGGAAAATAATAATTGTGCTGCTGCAAGACAATATGGAATAACAGAAAAGATGGTTCGGGACTGAAAATCAAATGAGAAAGCATTAAAGAGTATGCCAAGGGGTAAGTGTGCATGAAGAAGAGGCACCCCACACTGGCCAGAACTCGAAAAACATGTAGCAGACATGGTGGCTCAACATCGCCAAAACGGTTATGTGGTGACACGAAATACAATACGCTTGTTTGCACTTCAGTGGGCCAAATCAAATCTGATATTGTTTTACCTTTTATTTGGTGGGTGGAAGGTGTGCGGAAGAGGGGGTAGTCTTATGCGGCGAGTATATAACAAACTCTGTATTTTGAGTGGAAATGTTAGGGGGTCGTCTTATACGCCCAGTCATCTTATACGCCGGCAAATACGGTATGAATTTTGGGAAGACACATTCAATATATAACAAATGGTATCTTATTTTTGCTTTTAATTTCATTTACTTAATTACTAGTGAAACTGACAATTTTAATGTTTATTGGTCTATTCATTTTTCCTTTTTTTTTTCTTTTAAAAATTGGTCTGATTCTAAGTCTGGAACAGGAAGGGTATAGTATGAGCCTGAAATTTCTCATCATACCAGAAAGCAAGGACGCCACCATAGATTACCAGAGGCATGCCATAGGATTTGGAGCCAACCTGAATAAGCCTATCTGCCCAGTGATTGGGCAATTTGAGCATCAAAAGGACGGACAATAACTGACGGGGTGACCAGTTAGCTCTGTTGGTTAGAGCATGGTGCTGATAACACCAAGTTGCCAGTATGATCCCTGCATGGGCCACTGGGAGCTGTACCCTCCCTATAAAGAGTCAACTATGCCATTGTAGCATGAAAGCAATGTGTAGCCAAGAACCATGGCTGTTCCCCAATAAAATTAAAAAAAAAAAGTACAATAACTGAAATGGACTGACACACATCACATATACGAAAACAAAGGAGTTCATAAAGATACACATACACAAAAAGAAACTAAGAAAAAAACCTCTCAACTATCACCATAGGAGGATGCTAGGAACTAACATACGATTTGGGGAAGTAGTAAAAACAGGGCAACAATCAGACCTTTTTCTCGCACTTCCTATACAATCTACACCTCAGGGTGAACCCCATAAACTCTTCCATACAGCAAAATACACACCATTATAACACTGCTGGGATACAAACACATCATCCGCAGGAGCCACAAATTCAGAAAGATGGACCATATGTCACTACCCACATGGAAGGGAAATGATGGGGCCCAGCCAGGACATGACGTACATGTTAGTTTTATTCCCCACGGCTCCTAGATTGTACAAAGGTATTGTGCATAAACAACTTTTCCTGTTTTAATTAAACAAAGGTATCTACAATTTCCAATGAGAGCTCCTTATCATCATGAGGTTACCATGGTTAACATTTAATGTTAAAATTTAAAACGTTTATAAACAAAATACAGTATGAACATACAATGGAATATTAGTCAGCCTTAAAAAGGAAGGAAATTCTGACACGTGACAACATGGGTAAACCTTGAAGACATCATACTAAATGAAATAAGCCAGTCACAAAAGGACAAATACTGTATGATTCCACTCCTATGATTCCTAAAATAGTCAAATTCAGAGAGAGAGAAGTAGAATAGTGGTTGCCAGGGGTCAGGGAAAGAGGTAATGGGAAGTTATTGTTTGATGGGTACAAAGTTTAGTTTAGGGAGATGAAAGAGTTTTGGAAATGGATGGTGGTGATGATTGCACAACGTGAATGTACTTAATGCCGCTTAACTATACACTTAAAAATGGTTAAGATGATAAATTTTATGTTATGCATATCTTATCACAAAAAAATGTAGTTTGTTCAGTATGTTAAAATTTAGTAACTAAATTAACATTATTCCAGCCAAATTAAAATACATTTGGTTTTGTTTTGTTTTTGTTTTTTTAGCTGACCCGACCCATCCTGCAGCCTGTGGGCAGCTCAGCGGCAGCTCAGCTCGGGCCAGGCATCGAACCGCTGTTGCTCAGAGCTCAAACTCTTGAGCGAGCTCTTAACCAACTGAGCCACTCGGCCGGCCCAAATTTGACATTTTAATTACATAGTCCCTGCAGTCTCAGCAGTGTCACTAAGGGCAAATGCACAACTTCGGTATGGCTTTTGGTAACACTGAAACTACTTCACAGAATCCTAAGTAGGAACCAATGCAGTAACTAAACCAAAGCATTTCATAACAGAAGTTTTACCCAGTTTTTAATGCATTTGAAGAATCACATACATAGTTGGGCCACTCAATCTTCAATCTTTCTCCATCCACAGAAGAGACCCGGAAAGAGGTTGCAATTGACACTGTACACGCAGTGAAACAGACGAAGAGCAGTGTAGCTTACCCATGCACAAGGCAGGCGCTCAACAAACCTTCCCGAATTTGAATACGCAGTCAATCTGCAGTAAAACCAAAAAGAAAGCCTAGGAGTCCCCCTCTGTCGTACGCACTATCTAGTGAGTGAGGGCTGAAATTCAGCTGGAAGGAAGGCTGTCATCTCTCTTACTGGTCTTTCATCATTTGAGATCTCAGTCAGCATTAATGTTGGATGGTTTAATGTAAAACAGGTTTCATGTACCACGTATCCTTTTATGAGTTAAAAAAAATTATTTTCCACTCAGTTTTGGTGGGAAAAAAGTATGAATAACCAAACTGTCATTCTTATAACCAAGCTCCATATGAAAACTAGAAAGCTCAATTTGACACACACATCTTTTTCTAAATGAAGAAGTCATTGTTTTAAAATATACAGTAGCAAACACATTATTATTTCTCAGGCACAGGAAGCAATCCTGGCTTTCCACTCTCCTCTCCCGGCTCCACTGTGTTAAAATGTGTCCCCTATATGGTCCCTCTAACTCAGTACTACATACTTTCAACTCTAGAGGTCAACAACACCGCCTCCATCACATGAAAACACTGCTACTTTCACAAGCCTTACTAAAATAGAGCACTTAAAATTCTTAAAGGAAATTTATGTCCTCGACAACTATTTCATACCAATTAAGTATTAGTCTTTAAATTGAGGACCTAAACATTAGATGCGGCTACTCACATTTTATTCATGTATTCATTTCCATGACAGTCAACTATGAAGAAATAAAGGGGGAATACCTGGGATCCCCCCAGTCTGAATGTGACAATCATTGCACAATGTTGACATCAGCTTGCAAACTGCCCCGCCAGACAGCCAGGAGACTCAGCAGTGGCTCTCTGGGTTGCAGTGTGGCCATGTGCAAGGTGCCCTGTCACTTCACATCCATCACAACCTCAAGCCCAGCAATCTCATGCCTCCCGTGCCTCAGGGCTTGGTGGGTGAGCACTCCCCAGCACCACACCATTCCCAGTGGCCTTGCCTGCAAGAAAGAAACTCCAGCTACTCAAAAATGGAAATCCGAGACACAGACAGAGAGGCACGATGAAAGGGAACCTCCCCTCACCCCCCACGAATATTTACATTCTTTAAAACCTTTGAAATAAATGGTTTTCCCTGTGCTTTTTTAAAAACCTGCCTACTGGGTATCCTTAAGGCGCTGCTGAACTACTGCAAAGTACGAAGAGGAGAGCGGCCCCCAAACAGAGAAATCCAGGCAACAGCTCCCTGTAAGGGAGCTAATTGTCCCCAAGGAGAGAAGTGGTAGACGACTTTCAAATCACCATGGCAATTAGCAGGTAAGTCACATCCATTCCCAGCAGGACGGTGTCACCCTCGTTCCCTCCCACAAGGCTGGATGGCCCTCACCTTTCCAACCTTGAAGTGGTGGTGTGACAGGAAAAAGTAGACACCTCTCCCTGCTAATTGCCCAAGCGGGTCAAACTTCAGAACCAGCATCGTGCACTTTGTTTTGAAGCGCAGGGAAAAGAGGAAGGGTTGACATTCGGAGCGGAATCTCCGTGATTTGCCAGAGGAAACAGCACAGACCAGACAGCAGAAGCGCCAGCATTTCCATGCAGCTGCCACGACAGGTGACCGGGCCGCTTTGCAGACACCCCGCTCGCCCCGGGGTTTCACGGAGGTGGAGTGGGCAGGAAGGGGAAGGAGGGAGGGAGGCAGACGGGAGGACGAGAAGGTGGGCAGGGGCAGGAGGGAAAGCCGCTCCATCTACACGCTGGGGGAGCAGAGGAGGAGCACAGCCCCGTCTCCCCGGGGAAACCGTTTTAAGGGATCTTCTGTCTCCACAATTAAGGGAAAAAATGGCTCCAAGCCAAACGCCTCCTGATTTACACACACACGCACACCAAGCTCTTCTTTCGCCCCATTTTCTGATACGCTGAAACAAAAGGCGAAAACAGCTCAACAGCAGCCAGCGCCACTCCGAGCTCGGGTGTCGGCCACCCTCACCCCCTCCGCACCCTCGAGAGAGCCCCCCAAGACGGCCCGCCCGCTGCCCCCCGCCCAAGCCCCGGCCTCCCGCCCAGCCCGGGGCGCTGCAGCCCTCCCGGCCGGGTGCCGCCCGCCGCGCCCCCCACTGCGCCGGGCAGAGGGGCCTGGCCGGGGCTGGGGGCCCCTGCCAGAAAGCAAGGACGCCACCATAGATTACCAGAGGCATGCCATAGGATTTGGAGCCAACCTGAATAAGCCTATCTGCCCAGTGATTGGGCAATTTGAGCATCAAAAGGACGGACAATAACTGACGGGGTGACCAGTTAGCTCTGTTG